TTACCTCCTCGTGGTGCACCCTGGGCAACGTATAATCATACGACAAAAAAGTCTTTTAACCGGCAGCTGACTTCTGACTTCAAACTACCATGACCCCACTGTATGTCATATTTGACCCCTACCACAGTACTCATCTTATCCTTTCTGAGCCTTGGTGTCTGTCGGTTTCTTTTACATCTGTGAATCACTCTTCGGTTCTCCCTCTCGAATTCTTCTCATTTTGATATTCCTCCTCCCCTCTGTGAAGCCCGAAGTCAACTAAAGGGCTAATGATACCTATCATAACGCCTGCCATTTGAAATAAATAAATTTTCATGTAAATAGGCTTATTATTAAAAGTGGTTTTAGGAAAATGTAAACAGACGTGCTCTGGACTATCAACGAATAGTTCAACCAGTTGGTCCAAGTGTATCCAGCTTCCTGTAGCTTTAGCTACCTACTTGCTCACCATTTCCGACTGCCTCGTTACCTGGCCCTTTGCTAAAAGTTGCCTCAGTGTTTCAAGAAATGTTTTCCCTCTTGGTGCTTCAGTAATCTGTCTCCATTAGCTCTTAACGGTCTAGGACTACAGTTACTCTGCCGTATGTGTAATAAAATTTTAATCAATATTTCCTTCATTTCGAGAGTGACTAACCACATACTCAAATACTATGACGGTAATAACATTGCTTTCATGTGGTAAATCGATTTCCTCTAAATGCAAAATCAGGTAGACGACTTCAATGACGAAACTTTCTCCTAACCTTAGGTTGAAACTTCGGCTAAATGGCAAGAGAGAAGCCAGAGTTATAAAGAAATTAAATCAACCTTTCCATTTCAATACCAAGCATTTATTTATAAATTTTGTTAGAAATAATACTCGGATAAAAGAATATGTGCGTTTTGAATTCCATTGTATTGATTTGAGTTGTGTGGAGCACACATTATTATCGCTGAACAAAGTAATCTAATGCATTCTCAAACAGGCTTGAATATGCGACGTATAACTTCGTGAAGGGAGCAAGTGCGAACATGAACGCTACAGATGGCCATGTAAACTGATTTTTTAAAGTTCACAATTCACTTGGCATTCTCAATCCACAGAGCGGTTTTAAAGACTCGCTGGAAATTGATGCATGGAATACACTTCCGAGTTCTTTGTTACAGGCTCGGCATATCCTGCTTCAAGCTCGCTTATTAAGCTAAAATAGCACACTTGAATAGAATAAACTTGGCTTTTTTCCCTTCATTTCCTATTGTCTTTAATTCTTCTGATTCCCACAAGTCTAATTGTTGAAGCAGTTAAAATGCAACAATGTGCAGCCGGTTTGTAGCGTTTCATTTGTGATGGCTCGAACTAAGCAGAATGCTCGTAAAAATGCAGGAGGCAAGGCACCTTGAAAACAGCATGAGCGCGCCATCAACTGATGGTGTTGAAAAGCCACAATGCTTCAATCCTGAAACTGTCGCTCTTCAAGATATTCGTCGTTATCAGATGAGTACTGAGCTTTTCATCTGGAAGATGTCTTTCCAGCGTTTTGTGCATGAAATTGCCCAAGAGTACAAGGCTGACTTATGCTTCCAGGCTACTACAGTAGCGGCTATGCAAGACGCGGCTGAAGGTCACATAATGGGTCGAGGGGCTACTACTCTTGTCATGCTAAAGTTGTGTTTTTGCCCAAAATACTCCCACCCTAGAGGGTTTATAGGAAGCTTGGAAAAGAGAACGCTTGTTTGGGTCAAGATAGGACGGCAAAGAGTTGAAGGAAGCACAGAATGCATTAAGGATTCCAAAGAGAAGTATATAAACTTAGTATTGACAATAAATAGCCGACATTAGTTGGCTGTTTGATTTCCGGACTGAGATTTTTATGCAACGTCAGCTCCACGCCGGACTTGCATTCATCAATGACTACAAGTAGCTTGCAATTACTGAATTTCAAATTGGGTGTCAATTTGGTTAACTAGACGGTTGCTTGTTATGTTTGATAGTTTGTAGTTTATAAGAAGGCGATGGAGTTGTTGATTCGTTCAGCCACTTCAGATAACTTGTCAAGGTCGTCTTGATGGGGGCTAGTGGTTAAGAATAACATCATACTTTACAGGAGGCAACTAACCCTTAATTCCTTGAAATTTTTGTTATTTAACTCATAACCACCAGATAAGGAGAGCATGTGGCGTAAGAGTTGAGAACGATCTCAAAGTTCCCGTTTCTCTAGGGAAAGAGATTGATAAGTAATAACTGCTTTCTTGAGTCGGTCGTAGGAGTTGTTGTCCTGCGGATGGGGGTGTTGGCTGCACACTGTCTGTCATGATAAACACGTACTGGTTTTGCCCGTTGATTGGTCGTTCTTTCCCTGGTCATAGATTGGTCGTGAGGCTTCTGCCCTTGTCATATTAAATTTGTGTTCCTCCCTAACCCCCCCCCCCCTCGGGTTCTTAAATATTCTCTAAAATTTCTCAAGAGCAAATCGGGTCTTTCAGGTATATTTAGCAATGCATTTTTTTCTGGGTTATATTTACAATCTCATTTATTGATATTAAAAGTGATATTTAATCGTTCTCAAATACCTCAAATGTCTCAGCTGAAAAAATCAAAACTACTAGTTTAAAGAAACGCTTATCTCAACAATATCACAATAGGAGGCTGATTGAATGTGTCATTTTTCTGTTCTCAAAATAATAGTTATAAAATTATTATTAGAAGATACAAAAGCCTACCCTTGAGTGCGAAATTAATGAAAAAGGAAAGTTTATCGAGTAAATGAAAGAGAAGAGGACAGCACCAATAATGATCAAAGATCTCCAACATAGTAAGTAACAAGCGAAATGAGGAATGAAAGCGAGATTGACAGATATCGCATTATTTATTTGTTTGTCAATGAGGCATGGATCACTTGGACAGATGAATGGGTCAGTAGATGTCCACTGGGTGGAGAGAAAGAAAGCGCAGGAAGGTGCAGATATTTCGCAACCATTTTTTTCAATGCACACTTCTTTGATAATATTTGGCCCCTTAATTTGACTTGGTTAAATATAAGTAAATTTGCCTCCTTCTATTTTGACTAATATATTCTACTTATTTAAATGAAATAAATAAGACAACTTAATGGTTTACTGTCTACTTACAAATCAAAGTAAAATCATGAAAGTTCAAATCGATTATTCTTGGACCACCTTTACAAAGTTTAGTGACCTCCATTGTCACGAAATGAATCATTGATTAATGATTTTTGATATTTGTGTAGTGGGATCCAATCTTGTCGTAACAAAAATTGTTGATTTAGAAAGCAACCCCTCGCTTTCTATTGATCACCAAATAGATGTACAAATATATTTAATTTGTATATTTAATTAAAAACGCACCGAAATCTGTTTTTACCCATATAATAACTTTATTAAGAGGACGAAATAACACTAATTTAAGTAATAGTAATAATTGAATGAAATTTATTAACCACAACCAAGTAAATCGACAATAACTGCATTCAATTGCCTTTATAACAAAACCTACTCCAAAGTTTTGCATTTCGATGAACTGTCTGTTACGCCAAATTTTAAAGTTAAGTAATTAATTTTATTTCCCTAGGATAGAATTCTTTTATTTATATTTGCCAGTTTCAATTACTAAATATTAATATGGTCATTTATAATTCCTCAAGAGTTGGTTGTCACCCCAAAATTGGTCTATACTTCAATGCTTACCTACTTCATTGAATTTCGTTACTTTCAGTCTAACTTTTTAACTTTGCATGCTTGTGAAATTATTTCATGTATTTATCCGTTTCTATTAGCCAAAAAGTGGAGTAGATACAAAATTTTACCACACATTAAATGTTTGAGAGAATTTAAGGTAACCTTGGACCAGCTGCACTTTATTGACTTCGTCAGAGAAATACCGAAAGGGGTGGGGGATGACCTTTATGGATATACCTGAACTTTGTTGCCTTGTTTGCATAAACTGGTGTGGTGTGATTGTAAACATAAAATTAAACTGGAAATTAGGATGAAATTTGTGGAGAAAAGTCATTTCATACAAACTAATGATTAGTGCGTTTTCTAGATGAAAAAAGCTACCGAGGGACTTCCAGTCATCGCGATTTCCAACTACGTTATAATCATGTCTATCGAACAGGAGGGTTTGGTAAAAAAGACCACAGCAATTGTAAAAATCTGTCTATAGTAAATTTTACTCATGGTTAGTAACCTACCATTATTAAATTGCTGCATAGTTGTTTTTATGTTTGACTTTTAGCCAGTTATGGATTGAAATTTCCTTCATTTGTCTTCCAATAAGGTTGAAAGAAAAGTGGAAACAGAAAGGGCGTTGGAATAAGAGGAAGTGGGTAGTGCCTTTTTAATCGCTTTATTCCCTAAACAGTTGCGCCTTCGTTGAGAGTAAGGAAAGGTGTTGGGGCAAATTTTCTGAAACATATGCGGTGGGTGTCTTTCTTGGGCTAAAGAGCTTAATTTCTGAAAGAATGAATTGATCAGAGCATTTTATTCAATTTCTAATATGGTGTAACACATCCATTAAGGTCTCATTCCACAAATGACCAATTTTGGAAACAAAAACTTTATATGCTTCAGTGGTGGAGTTCATTCAGTCTAATGTAATCAACTTAAAGTACATTGAAAATTAAATTAAATGCTTTCAGTAAGTGACACTCCAGTTAAGTGTTAAGTAGTGACCTTAATTTATAGGTCAAACCTCCCTATTTGAATTCCACTTGTCCGCATATTTCCGAGCCTCAATAAGTTTTGTACCAAGATGTTTATGTCATGAATCCTCGTTTTATTTATTTTGGGAAAAATCCTGAACTAATATTTCATCTCCTTCAATTTCTCCCGATTCCGCATTCCCGAACTTGTTAAATTAATTATGATTACTCACAGGAATGATGAAATTAAGAAATCGGGTAATTGGAATTCAATGAGGAATATGTGGGGGTTATTGTGAAGATAACGTTAAAGATGTTGCAGAATTTGATTTAGCTGTTCGCTTTGTAGAATGCTCAATTTCTGGACAATTCACTGCCCAACTGAATTTCACAAATCGTTCTCTTGTCAATTTCCTGTCCACAAACCCCTAATTTTATTGGCCGGTCGATTTCGGCAACTCAGCAAATTTCATAGTTGGGAATCAAGAATTGACATGATGTTAGATTATCTTGGGCAGTGTATAAAAAAGACTCAATTAAGAGCTTTGTTTTCTTGAGAATAATAGAGCAGTGAGAAGGAATTAGTATGAACAACATTCCTGAGAAAGTCCTTTGAGTACTGCTCAATAACGAGTACACAGTGTAAGAAAATCAAATGCCCTCATACTTATTCATTTTCCATGGTAGAACCGAAAATCTGCACAACTTTTCAGGAGGGGGGGAGGGGTTGTGAGATGAGCAATTTGAGGAAGAGAAAGGAACTCAATGGGAACCTGACTTTATCTAAGCTTTCGAATTATCTGACCATATGCTGCCTATTTTCAGCATCTTGCTTTTGCGTATTGATTATCCTGCTACTAAGTTTGCGTATGGTTTGATAACAGTCGACTTTACGTTTTATTCTTTAAGTATACGTCTATTGAATAGTGGAACCCATTAGTTGGCCGAGAATCTTTTGGCTTATACACACTTTCCATTTTACACACGACTGATTTTCTTTAATGCTTGCAATAGAATCTTTATTGGATTTAGATTCTAACTTTAGTCCGCCCTCCCAATGATGACCTTGAAATTGCCTTTGCCAGCTGTTTGTATGTCCTGATTAAAATGCAAATTGGATTTCAAAGTCTCTTCTGTTAGTGCAACGTCTCAGTGACACTTGACCTATTGATTTTGTCTTCCTTTTGTGCCAGTACGATAAGATTTCTCAGAGAGTCTTTTTCGTTAGGATATTTAAAGCTTATTTGTCTAATGCTGTACAAGCCCAACAGCATTCTGCAAGCAATTCTTTGATTTGTCTTCGATCTTTTATCGTCAATCTTACGGTATATACTGACGCGAACAGAATGTCTGGATCGAGTAGGTATTCAAATATCTGTATTTGAGCCATAATCAAAAGCAATTTTGAGGTTCATTTCTAATATTATGCTTCTATGACACCATCATTCATTCACTCTCTGGTAAGCCAAAGTAAAATAAAGGGATCACCCTACTGAACTTGTGATTATTTATCAGGCTATTTGAATGATCTAGATCTGTAAGGACTTACAACCAGACTGTTTATCCACATGCCATTTTCATTGTGCCTTTTTTCAAGGTCAATTTAGAAATGTTGAAGGAAATGCTCAGATGTTCATGATACTTTAACTGTCAATTATTTTCTTAAGCTCAATATTCAGAATTTCAAGTCCTGACAGATAGTCAATATTATTTGAAATACTACAGTGAAGAGTAATGTATCTTATTTGCATGTCGTTAATTGAGTTAAGCTATTTCGACGGCTATGGGAATAGAGACCATATTATTGCTGTGTCTTACTAATTGAGTAAAGTAAGCGCGCCTTTCCAACTGGAGTCATTATAGGTCATTAAAATGATATATAGAAGACTCTTTTGGCTATAGAGCCTCTAGAGACGGTTGCAGTTAATAAGGATACCTACAAATTATTAATTGAAATAAAGGGTATGCGATAGACTTGTAACCAAGTGGTGCAACCTGGCCAGCGTATACTCATAAGGCATAAAAATCTATAAACCGGAAGTTACTTCTGACTCCAAACTACCATGACCCCACTGTATGTCATATTCGACCCCCTTCACAGTA